GGGACAGAGATACTGGAGACTCAATGACCAGCTTCGAGTAGAGAGGGGCTACCCGCTAAGCACAGCTGAGCGCTGGATGAACTGCTGATGTTTAGGGCAATGCTCTGGCTTGCAACTTTCAGAGACAGGCCCTTCTCTGAGCAATGAGATGTGCTGTTGTTGTTTTTTTAAGAGACCCCACAGCGACACCTACAGGTGATGCACAAGAGCAAGTCTTCTGAATGGGACCAACTTGGGCAGAGGAGCAAAGAAAACCACTCATTTTCTGGAAACTCCGTTTCTGCTGAGCTTCTTCATTGCAGACATATCTACCTTTTTTTAAAAAAAAAAAAAAATGCTGGATTTCAAAAAAAAATATCCAGATGATCTCAGAAGCAACATAGCTGCAGAAAGAACTAGCCCAGTTTCAGGATTCAGGAGACCTTGGAGACTGTACCTAAGAAGTCAGTCTGTAGAATAATAATATAACATGAGAGGGTGTTTTTTTTTTAAAGAGAACTTTAAGGGTATTTTAGATGTATCATTCCTTGTTCTATGGCTGTGTCTAGTCAAACAGAGCTGCAAAGTTTTAGAATATTGATGGTTCAGTTATTTGTATCTCTATCAGAAGAAGATTTAAAAAAAAATATTAAAGCTGAAATCACAAGGAAAGTGTAGGGAATATCCTGGGGTAGGGGAGTATATCTCTTGCAATGCATACACACATGCAGACACACAAACATCACTGTTAGGGCAAACTGCAGATTCCATGGTAATAGTTTAATCTCATATATATCCAACAGGATGACTTGAGGGCTAGAATGTTGTTTCCAGTTCGGCAAAGTCTACCGGATTCCCAATTTTAAAAAAAAGAATATTGTTATATATGTGTTTATGCTTTTTCCTTCTGACGGGGAAATTAATTTTCTTTCTGGTTTTGTTTAGGTGGGTACAACCAGGCCAAACATTTTGCTGCCTAAGGCAGAGCAGCACAAGCCATCCCTTCTTCTCCTTTGCACTAGTGTGGTTCAAAATTGTTATTTTAGTATCAGAAGCAGAAGATCCCAGGCGCACATTTCAAAACAGGGGGAAAAGTTACAGAAATTTAACAATGAACAATCCTTTCCTCTCCGTTTTACTTTGCAGATGAAGAGGGAGGAAATGTAGTCAGCTTATCTCAAAGAGGCTTGGCTACAAACAGGCCTGAACATAGTCATGGGCCGTTATTCCACTTTCATGATCCATTGCAATTGAAATTCTCCATTGAAAATAATTGGCTGGACAAGCATGAGCAACAGTCAATGCCAATCTGCCTTAAAACATTCACAATAGTCTTCTGTTACTCATGCAGAGGAAAACGCTAACCCTGCCAGAAAGTAGGTGGGATTCATTATTGGTTTTTCTCAGAAGGAAGTGAAGGTCAGCTTGCAATTTCTGTAATACAGTTCTGATCTCATTTTGCAAGAAGTCACAGTACAGAATTCCCCTTTAGTACCATGTTGGTCACAATGCCACTGTTTCTACCACCACCACCACTCCGCTGCCAGCTTTGAATCACTAAGAACAATGAACAACAGTCAGAACATTGTAGATTCTACAGCCACAAACTTCCATCCTGCCTACTCCCTCCTGCCAAGGCATCCTACATAAAGGGAAATAAAAGAAATGAAGCCAGATAGTCTGGTACTTTGACACTTCCATGTCATGCTGCCAAAGGGGAAAACTGACAGGACCTCCTCAGGTTTATCTCTGCAATTTTGGTTAACTATTGAGGGGAAGATGAGAAGCTGCCAAGCCAGCATTCCACTTGGAGGACCCGCTAGACCAGCTAAAACACGGGGATTAGGAGGAATGCTGAGGCAAGACAACCCTGTGGATCAATTCTCCTTTTATGGCCCATCCCCAATCTCCACATATTCAAGCGAAAAGCAGTTTCAGAGTAGTTATGTTTACATTATAGCAAGAAGTAATTGGGTTTCAGCTTCTGAAGAACAATGAGCAGGCAATCACAAACTTCAGAGCCAATCTACATTTACATTTTTTTTACATTTGATTTGATTTGTCAATCACTTACAAGATACAGGTATAAGAATAAATATAGTTTTGAATACATGAGATAGATACTTATAAGAAAACATAAAAACAATAGGACAGGGACGGTAGGCACGATTGGTGCGCTTATGCACGCCCCCTACAGGCCTCTTAGGAAGGGGGTGAGGTCAATAGTAGACAGTCTAAGGTTAAAGTTTTTGGAGTTTGGGGAAGAAACCACAGAGTCAGGTCGAGTATTCCAAACATTTGACCACTCTCTTGCTGAAGTCATATTTTCTGCAGTCAAGTTTGGTGCAGTTAACCTTGAGTTTGTATCTATTGTGTGCTCTTGTATTGTTATGATTAAATCTAGGAAGGGTACAAACATTGTGTGGAAGGGCCTTAGTCCAGAAGTGTCTATCTCGTTTACTGCTTCATTTTTCCTGTCATCTCATCCAGCTGGCTGGACTTGAAAAAAACCCGATAGGCACTCCAGTCAAGGAGCTGTGCTGAATGAATGCATCAGTTCTATTCCTACTTTCTAGGAATTTGAGAAGGCACCATATTGGGAGAGGAAGATACCAGCACATGGGCTGAGAGTGAGTGACTGGTCTAAAGTCAACCAGTCGGATTTCATGGCTAAGGTGGGAAAAGAATTCAGTCTCTTGGTTTCTAAGTCAGGACCTTAACTACTGTACCAAACTGGGTGTGTGATCCTTCCAACTCCATAATTTAATGATTCTTCACAAATCTTCATCAACTTAAATTGGCTCAATCACATCTCTATCACATAGACGTTGAAATTACTGATTGCCCTAGTCTGGAAGAAAGTCTAGTTTTATTAATAACTGTATTAAACAGGATAGCTTTTCTTTTTTGCACTTAAGTTGGTGCATTCCAAAAGTTTCTGAAACATTGAGCTTAGGGACATGCATGTAAAAACATTACAGATGTGTATCTGCTCCACATTGCAAACAGACATGAGGACTATAGCAAGGAATCCTCAAGCCTGCTTCAAATTTAACACATGATCAGAAACACACTTCTGCAAGGGTAAAGAACTGGCTGTTAACCAGATCCTGCAGCCTTCAAAGCAGAACACTTGGCAAGCTGGAGAGAAATCGAATGTCTAATCACCTTAAGTTTGGGGCTGGTGGATACTACTTTTTGTTTAGTTTTTGTAATCTAGTTTTATAAAGCGGTGAATCTATTTCACTAGTTTCATAATGAGCATTCCTGTCTCCTGCTCACATTCTGGATTTTCTGCATAAACATGTACAGGTAGTCCTTGACTTATGACCACAATTGAGCCCAAAATGTCTGTTTGTGAAGTGAGTTTTGCCCCGTTTCTTACCAGTTGTTAAGTGAATCACTGCAATTGATAAGTTGTTAAGTTAATCTGTCTTCCCCATTGACCTTGCTTATCAGAAGGTCACAAAAAGGTTGGGACACAGCAATGTAAACATGATCCAGTTGCCAAGCATCTGAATTTTGATCCAATGATTGAGGTCGTAACTGTGAAAAACAGTCCTAAGTCACATTTTTCAGAGCCATTGTAACTTTGAATGGTCCTTAAATGAACTGTTGTGAGTCAAGGACGACCTGTATACGTGCACACATACACGTGTTCTCTTAAGCAGCAATTCCCCAAAACAAGAAGGTGGTAAAACTCAGGATTGGGAAACTTAGAACCACCAATGTAAAATTGAGCATAGTTCCATATCACAATTCGGATTGGAGTCAAGACTGGAGTAGTTTCGGAGTAATTAAATCAAATTATGAGAAATGTTGTTTATCCCGAGGGCCTCTTATGAAAGCAGAAGGTAGCCATTTAAATATCCCACAGTGCTGCAATTAAACTAGCTCTTCTGTCTAATCAGGGGAATCCAAGGCCCAAGAGTCTTGTGGGTCCAGATGGCATTTTCATTCAGCACCCCTCCATATGATGACCTCTTTCAAGTTCCCTTGATTTCCTATTCTGCTTCCCCTGTCAATTGGTTTAAGACAGTCCAATTATTTACCTTCCTATGGAACAGCTTCTGTGCATGACAGTGATAAAGCTGCGTGGCACTGTGGAAATGGGGAACTACCAGGAAAAAACAGTTAATAATGTGTTTTTAATATAACAGTGCCAGTAGTAGCTGAATGAGGGATCAAAGAGAACTCCATATGGAGTATTGAGATTCAGTGTGGACCAAAGCCAGATGCTGCTTTAACTGGGATGCAGAACATAAGGCAGGTGTGATGAACTCCAGAGCGAACACTTTCTTTCATCCATTCACTTGAATATTAGTGGAGAAAGGCAGATGAAGTACAGAAGTTTAGCTACAGATTCCTATTTAATTCTGCAGAAGTAGCCACTTTGTCCTGCCCTTTTTATATTGTTTTTTTTTTTTAAATAAGAGAGTTGCCCCAGGGGACACCAGGATGATCAAAGCCTTAGCAGATTGTAGCAACACACTTTTTCCCTTCTGAAAACAAGAGATGGGTAGAAACAGTGATAACTTTTTGTCTGCATAGGGAACCCCCAAAACATGAGCTTAATTCACCCCCAAGAACTGATGTAAAGAAGACAAACTGAGAAACACAAGTGTATTTGTGTTAAGTTTTATAAACAGGAACAGTTATAAAACAGTAACAAACATTTCATAGGAAACAATCACAATAACAAAAAGATTTATCGAACAAGATTTGAACCTATGCACACAGAGTGAATTTGGGTAAAAAAAATAAAATCAGGATTTGAAAATCAGGTGAGTTAGCTTACCCAGTTAAGAGTTCAAGGGTTAGGACTTATTTTTTTTTATTTTTAATCCTTATGTACATGTTTGTAAAAGCACCATTGTCAAGTTAAACTTGGAATCATTCCAAAGCGTGTATGGCTCTATACATGCTAGAAAAGGCACTCCAAATAATAATAACAGTTTTATTTGGCATTCACTCCTTTGGGGGTTACAAGGGTGGAGGAAGTGCAATCACTTTCTTGCTACATCCCAGTTGGTTTCTAGTCATCTTCACCAACTTAATAATGGTGAACATTTCATGAAAGTAGCCTGTTCTGCAAATATAAGCTCCGCCCATAAATTTTATAACCTGCTGGTTAGATTTTACCACAACAGAGATTAAGAAACCTGTGGCTCTCCAGATGATGGACCACAACAACCGCCATGTTTTGATGGCGATTTAGATCAAAATCCAATAGCTGAAGGACCACAGAAGACCCATTCTATCCACAGACACAATCATGCCATTACCCTTCCATTCAATAAGGTAGACATTATGGCACGGTCACGTCTGTGGAGGGAATAGGGAAAGACTGGGCTAGTAAAAATGTTGCTACTCTTCCTGTTGGCTAGAGTTAGCAATCTTCAAGAGGTGATTTCTGACATACGATCTTGTGCAACAAGAGTGACCCAAATAGTTTCAATCATAACCTTAAGGTCAAATAGATTTCAGTGAGAAAGCTGACGTCTTGTGAATACTTTTTTTTTTTAAAAATGCAGTATTTCACTTTGAAATTGCTGGGGACCTTTATAGAATATTCTGGGCACCACAGGTGACCATAATTATGGCAAGGGTGAATGTCCGACTATGGCTTTGAAGGGTCCATCCTGGATCTCAGATTAAGGAGAGGATAGAAGAGCAGCTTTCCCTTCTTGAGACAAACAACCTTAACTAGAGAAAGGATAAACTAAATACAATAAATTTCTCGTACAGCATATGTACCAAAAAAAGGCAACATCTTGAAGGAGAAGCACCGCAAATCAGAACATGTATGCCATGCGTTTCTATTGCAACAAACCATCGTAAGCTACCTTGATGTGGTTGTATTGTACCCCTGAGTTAAGTTTCTACAAAGGCTGAAAGATGCTTGCTTCAGATTTGCTGCAAAGTAGAGCAAATTGCCTTCTCAATCCAGAGGAGGATCCAGCTATGGCTTAGCATTCAGACAGGGACAAAATCAGCTTCAAAGATGGTGACAGACATCCCAGACATTAATCCATTTGTTCCGGCAAAATTTGGAGGTAGCTGTCAAGATCTTCTAAAGAAAACTGCCTTCGTTGATAAAGTGGAAATACATTAATGTGTGTTCCTTAAATCCTTTCTCTTCTCCTTCTTTAAGTCATCCGTGGCCCTTCCCAAAGAGAGGAAAGGAGACGGACCCATCTGCTTTGGACACTTGAAAAAAATATATATAGCGGGCTACCCAAAGATGTTTGCAGACAGGAGGAAACATATTAAAGAACCCTGGGCCGGCTTGTGCTCTGGCTCTGCTAAAAGCAGAAGGGGAGGAAGACAACGCAGCAACATCCCAAGCACACACATATATACCCACGCATCCTTCAGAGGCAACCTTGTGGCGTGGTGAGGGGGACGGTAGAGCCCGAATCATAATCCAGATCCACCGTGGTGTGAGCACTTGTGCTGAGGTTGCTCAAGGAGGTGCCGGTTCCCAAGTGCTGACGGTCCCGCAGACTCTGGATGTAACTCTTTGGGGAGCAAGCGGAAAATGAAGATTATGAGATTACCTCAGGGAAATGGGAATCATGTATTCTCTTCAATGAGTGGGTACTGGCAGGGGTGTGGGGGTGTTGCATTAGGAACTCGCTCACATTTTTTAAAAGCACCTCACTCTAGCCCAGGGGCCTGCAACCTTAAACACTCAAAGAGCCATTTGGACCTGTTTCCCTCAGAAAAGTGGGAAAAAACACCAGGAGCCAATAATTTAACAACCGGTGTGACTAGGTGGGCGTGGCCAACTCGACGTCACTCACTCCCACCCAGTCACCTCCTGCTCTGGAATATGGAGCGAGTCTCCATCCCCCGCCATCCCCCTTACCTTCTTAGGCCAGGCAAGGAGTGGCGGGGAAGGGTGGGGTGGGACCAGTCGGTGGTGGGATCAGCCGACAGGGAGTCACAGCAGAGGGCCGAGAGAGCTGCATGTGGCTCCAAAGCCGCAGGTTGCAGATCCGTGCTCTAGCCACTTTTGATGTGAGGAAGGGCCTCCAAAGGCAGAACAATAGGATGGATGACGTGATTACAGGTAGTCCTCGACTTATGACCACAATTGTGCCCCAAAGTGAATTTTGCTCCATTTTACGACCTTTCTTGTAACAGTTGTTAAGTGAATCACGGCAGTTGTTAAGTTAGTAACATGGTTGTTACGTGAATTTGGCTTCCCTTTTGACTTTCCTTGTCAGATGGATACAAAAGGGGATTGTATGACTCCGGGACATTGCATTTTATAAGGTGTGTCAAATTTTTCAATGTTCACATTTCCAAATTTTAAGGGGTGCTCAAAAGTTGTGACATGCCTTGGGGATTGTAAAGATATTTTGGTTACTTTAATATAATTTAGATGTGGTTGGTAAGTAACTGCATAAATATCGTAACTTTTTAACATTTTGTTTGCTTCATTACTGCAACTGTCATAAATATGAACCAGTTGCCAAGCCTGTTGATCACATGGTCATAGGGATGCTGCAAAGGTTGTGACTTTTTTTCGGTGCTGCTGTAACTTCAGTCACTAAACGAATGGTTGTAAGTCGAGGGCGATCTTTATTATTTATTAGATTTTTATCCTGCCACTGTTAATTTATAAGTATTTGTGGTGGCAAACATATTGTACTTAATACTCCTTCCTCCTCCTATTTTTCCCATCCCTGTGAGGGAGTCTGGGCTGAGAGGGGCCGGGCCAAGGTTTCTTTGTATCAGATTCCTGGGATCTGTCCCAAACATTCAGTAGTCAAAAAACACTGTGATGCTAAGTAAAGCAGGGAAGTGCAGTACGTCCTGAATTCAAAACAGAAAAGTCAGAATTCCTTCTTTCAATGCATTGCCGACTATGTGGCAGTCACCATCAATCTCAGACGGAGCTAAACGGAGATTAGACATGAGCGGCGGAATATGCTTCTAATATGACTATCTCATAGCAAATTGCCTGTTTATTTATTTCAAAATTCGATAGACTGGTTAGTCTAGGGGGCTCACATCTCCCAAAACATGAATGAGTGATAAAGATTTTGCAGTTTTAAGCAAACAAAGCCCTTTTGGCTCTTCTAACTCTTAAGGTTCCACTATGAGTCCAAATATTACTTTGTTTCACTGGTGATATGTTTCCAATCAAGCAAGGAGAGAATTTAGTCAATCTGTTCAGAAGGTCCTCTGGGCATAACCAAGAACGCTTTGGTGCTCCTGGTGGCAATTTTCCCAGAATGGAGAGAACAGAGACCCTCCCATTCAAAGGCCCTTGGGTTAAAGAAGGAAAGAAATGTTTCCCTCCTGCGAAACACTTGGTGCTAAATAGCCACCTTGCACATTAACCCTCTTGACTGACGAAGTATTTAAGAGCTGATTTGCTGCTCTTCAAATCAGGAATACTTCCCAAGGGTCTTATATAATATTTGAAAGCCAGCCCCCATGTCTTATTATAGCAGCATACAACGAATGAAAATATGGACTGATTTTGATACATTTTATGCTGCTATAATAAAACATGGATGCAAGACAGTTATCAGTTAAATCAGCTTCTGCATAAAGCTAAGGTGTGCGTGTATATGCATACATGCAAGCATAGATGTACAGCACGAATATGTGAATCTATGGAGGGCACATTGCAGCACAAATGGAAAAAATGAAATAAAAATCTGGGCGAGAAAGTAGATCTTCTGGGGCTGCAAAGGCAATGAAGAGGGAGCCAAGCAACTCTTCATAGGAAAGGGATTCCCAAACAGGCCCAAAAGTTGATCACCGTTATCATTTTGGCACCCCAAAGCCATTCTGGAGAAAGCTTGGGAGGCTCCAATGGCTGAGATGATGGGATTGGCTTCCTAGAAGCTCAGCGATGAAGGGGCTGAACAGCCACTGGTCACAGCTACTCACTGGTGCGAGAACGTCTCCGGCACAGCGTTTGATGGCACTGGCCTTGTTCCGGTAGGAGCCTTCATGTGGAGCTTGGCACTGCCTCTTTTTGGCTTCCCGCTGTCGAATCCTTAAGAGTTGCAATTGCTTCTGGCGCCGATTCAGGACCACTGGGCCATAGAAAAGAGATGTGAGACTGGATGATGGAGACTTAGCTTAAAATCCCGCATGGCACCAGCCTAGCCCAGCCCCATTCTGGGAGAAAAAGATAGCCTGAAAGAGAAGCTTTGATTCAGACACTATGGCCTCTGTCTGAAAAACTTCTGGAACAGGGCAGGGGAAAGATGCAGCGCTGAGAGTTTGTCTTGTCTCCTACTCCTTCCTTCCTCCATCTCCTTCAAGATCAGAAAGGCTAAAAATATATATATTCTGTGGTTATTATGCTACATAATGCCATATACATTCTTAAGATTCTAAAAATCTCAGCTTCCTTATAGGAGAAAAGGCAGAAGCAATTATCTTCCCACCCTCCTCCAATTAGCTACATATTAATTTCACCTCTCCCCCCCCCCCACAATACTGCAATGGTAACCTCAAAATCTTTACATAATCTTCCTTTATGCATGCACTTACAGGTAGTCCTTGACTTACGGCCACAATTGAGCTCAAAGGGTCAAGTGAGTTTTGTCCCATTTTACCACCTTTCTTGCCACACTTCAGTGAATCGTTGCAGTTGTTAAGCGGATAATGTGGTTGTTAAGTGAATCTGGCTGCTCCCATTGACTTTGCTTATCAGAAGCCATCGGGAAATGTTACTAATGGTGATCAGGTGACACTGCAACCGTCATAAATACATGCCAGTTGCCAAGCATCTGAATTTTGATTACATGTCCATGGGGATGTTGCAACAGTCGTAAGCATGAAAAATAGTCACAAGTCTTTTTTTTTTCCAGTGCCTTTGTAACTTTGAATGGTCACTAAATGAATGGTTGTAATTTGAAGACTATCTGTACTTATTTCACTTTTGTTATATCATGGGTAAGGGCCAGATAACAAACTATCAGTCCATTATAGCATATCATGTTTGCATAATGTGACCAAAGAGCTGCATGTACTCTAGGTGTGTTATGACAAGCCATAAATATACTGTATGTATACATAAAATATAAAAATATATACATACAAATGTACAGGTAGTCCTCGACTTACAACAGTTCATTTAGTGACCATTCAAAGTTGCAACGGCATTGAAAAAGTGACTTATGACTGTTTTTCACACTTATGACCGTTGCAGCATTCCATCGGTCAGGTGGCCAAAATTCAGACACTTGGCAACTGACTCATTATGAAATGACTGTAGTCTCCTGGGGTCACGTGATCTCCTTTTGTGACCCTCTGACAAGCCAAGTCAATGGGGAAGCCAGATTCACTTAATGACTGGGTTATTAATTTAACCACTGCAATGATTCACTTAACAACGGTGGCAAGGAAGCTCGTAAAATGGGGCAAAACTCACTTCACAAATGTCTCGCTTAGCAACCGAAATTTGGGGTTCAATTGTGCAAATTGTGCCTGCAAAGGCGGAGGGATGTATTGAGGGAAACAAATAAAGAGGGAAAGGACAGCAAGACAGAAGCAAGACTTTCTGTCACTCCCTAAGAGCTCCATAGTCAGCTCGGCCTACTCCTTCAGGCAGGGGCAGGATTTCCACTCACCGTCTGTGTGGGAGAAGCCTTCGGCGGTCACTTTCCACTGCAGCAGGATGCCCATCAGGGCAAGGGCAGGCCACGTAGCCAGCACTGCCCAGCCGCACCAGCAGAGCAGGGAGGAAGGGGCCAGACGCAGGCGGTCGTAGACATGGTGGCCCAAAGCCAGGTTCTCCACCGCGTAGTCCAAGCAGAGAGTCAGAACGGCAGCCCCAAACACGGCTGTGGAGATCACCGTGAGGACCTTCTGCCAGCGCAGTGCCAAGACGGCACCTAAGAGGGACAAACCCAGCAGGGACCCGGCAGGGACCCATCCGTTGGGCAGTTCGTAAAAAGGCTCGGTGGCTACCAGCCCAGCGGTGGCCACCAGCAAGCCAAGCAGAAGCCCCGTCAGAAACAACCCCACAGAGTGCACCAGCATCGTAACCAAGCCGCACAAGACTCCGATGCCCAGGGCAATGCCAGCGCTGACCTCCAAGCTGAGCTGGGTGTCCAAGATACGCTCCTTGTAGCAAAGCAGAAAGATCACAGCGGAGCCGAAGAGGAGGCCGGAGAGAAACATGATGGCCTTGAAACACCGATACCCTATTGACAGGAAAGAGAGAAATAAGCACGACCAAGGCAAGTGAACGCAGGCAAACCGTTTTATGAATAGGAGGGCAGGTTAAGAGGGCAACTGAAGAAACATTATGTCCAAAAACTCCTGAAGGATCAGTTAATCCTCAATAGTACGAAAGATGACCAAAGAAACCCTTTTGTCATAATTATTTAGAACAAGGGTTTCACGCAATTTGTAATGTGGGCTTGCTTGCTATCATTATTATTACAAAGCAATTTTTGGAACTTGGTGTTATTTGAAAGATATGGAGGACACTGCGCTCACTGGTGCTTGGTTATTTAGCTCAATGGAAGCATGTGTTGAAAAGGGGAAAATGTAATTGATGACTTTGAAACTACAGCCTTTTTTAGTGATTCTTTTCTGGGCTATGGGTCAAGAGAATAAGAATAAAAGATAATCTTTTACTCTCACTGTGCACTCCAAATGAACCACTAGCACTCAGAATGGATAATTTAAAAAGAAAGATGGTTTTGTTTTTCTTCAAGATGAGAATACATCCAATCCTCACAGTGGAAGATAGGATGGAAAAACTGGTGGAGCCTGCAGAGGTGGTCAAATTTACTGCTTTAATCAAAGAAAACATCTAGTTTTGTTTCTACTATCCTTGGAAACTCCTTCACAACTTGGGTGCTTGGGACAGAAAAAAATAAAAGATTTTTGGGATTTGCTGATCAGGAAAATTTGTTGTTATAGAAATGGCTAGTAAACTAAGTATGTGAAAGTAAAAAGTTGAAGCTGAACCCTATTATTTTTATTCTATTGCACGGAAAAAAGTTGGACCCTTTGTTCTTCTTTTTCCCCAAACCCATACTTCTCTTTTCCCCCTTTTCCCTTCTCCATTTCCCCACTATCTTCATTTTCATTTATTATAAAATTTAACAAAAATTGATGAAAAACCAAATAAAGACTATCTATTCTACCCCAGCCCATTCTGTGTCTTTCTTGCTTCATTTTGGTTTGCTATATTAACTAATCTGCATCCATTCCCACGTACTTGTATCTAGCTAAAACTCTTATTATTTTCTGAGAGGTAAAGAAATAGTTGTTCCCACTCTTCTTCTGGTTCCTTTCAAGGTGGATATGAAGCACACTAAAAGGCAAGTCTTCCACTCCAACAGAAGAAAATATTTGTAGCTCAGAGTTGAACTGTGGGGCCCTTGGTGCTCTCAAGAGCTTGATTTTTTTTTTCTTGCAAATGTTTCATGACCCAACTAAGTAACATCATCAGTGCTAGAAGGAAACGGGGTTTGTTCTAGCACTGATGATGTTACTTAGTTGGGTTATAAAACAACTGCAAGAAAACAACCAAGGTCACAGAGCACCAGCAACCCCACACTATTACTATCAATTCAACAAACTTTTCAGAAAGTGCAAGACAGTCTCCAGCTGACTAAATTTTGGCCCTAAAGCAGGGGTGACAAAACTTGCGGCCAATGGACCAGATGTATCATGCACTGGCTATGCCTACCACCATTTTAGCAAAGGAGGGGAAAGTGGCGATATCCCTTTGACATCCCTGGCCTAAAGCTTCCCTTCCTTATGAGAGGAAGGCATGAAATCATGGAGAAAGCACAACCTTAGACTCCTTCCCCAGCTGTTAGTGATGCTTGCTGGGAATTCTGGGAGTTGTTTTCCTAACGTGTCAGGCAGCAACTCTGCTAACATAGATTCACAGGTTCACTGGCAGGCCAGGGAAGAATAATTTCAGTGATTGGAAAGATAATACATGAACACTGGAATCAAAAGTTTTGCTTTGTCATCTTCTAAGCTGTGGTAATATATCTGATGCCCAACACAGGGAGATCTATCTGATAAGCTAGTTAAAATATTTTGCCAATTACTTGTAAATAATGTGTGCATCTCAAGAATATGCGTATAATGCTGCAAAAACTGTAATTCTGAAATTGTTTTGGACCTGGAGCAGCACAACACATCAAGCTGGAGCTTCTACATATATATAAAAAAAGTTTCAGTCAACAGGAAAATGTACATCTTGCCTTTCGGAAGTGCCATGCAAACTTTCTGCCTTCCTGCTCTATAGAAAGGCATGTGTTCGAATCATGCAATCCTTATTACCCAACAAAAATGTCCCCTTCCCCTTTACTCACCGAAACAGCAGTAAGCCACTCCAAAAATGCAGCAGAGGGCACAAACCACACAGGGCACCACTTCATAGTGCCTTTCTGAAAGGAGACTGCAAGGGTCCAAGGCGGGCTCAGTGGGCTCTGCTGCCCCTTGATTAAAACCCCGGGGATCAAGAGTAACAGCAACCGGTAGCAGCAAGGTCGGATCCATGCTCAGGAGCCAGGAAAAAAATGCTTAGCTTGCCAGAGCCATCCAAATGGGAAAAGCTACCTAGAGAGAGAATTTGGTTAGAGGGAAGAGAATCCTAGAGGGCTCAAATCCACCAAACCCCTCTTCCCAAAGTTGCACAATTAGGACCAAGGCCTGGCTGACATATTGCACCACATTGTAAATTCAATTTGTAACGTAGTCCTCAACTTATAACCGTTTATTCAGAGACTGTTCAAAGTTACAACGGCAGTGAAACAACTAATTTATGACCATTTTCAACATGACCATTGCAGCAACCTTGTGGCCACAGAACTACGATTTGGACACTTGGCAGCTGGCTCCTGTTTATAATGGTTGCAGTATCCCAGGGTTATGGGATCGCCTTTTGCGACCTACAAACAATGCCAGTGGGGAAGCCAGATTCGCTTAACCACAGTGTTACTGCAGCGATTTGCTCAATTGCGGCAAGAGAGGTTGTAAAATGGAGCAAAACTCACTTAACAACTGTCTTGCTTAGCAACATAAACTTGGGGCTTAATTGCGGTCGCAAGTCAAGGAGTACCCGTATTAACTTAGCTTGGTGTGAGAACCCAGCCCCAAATTTTCTTTAGTTTGTTCAGGTCAAGCATTCAAGAAAAACTGAATGTGAAGCTGAGGCTTATCTGCAAAGATGCCCCTAAGCCCTGTCCTGCTTGCTCCATCACTGTCTCCCTTTCTCCTCTGGTGTCCTGCAACCCTTACCTTAAAATATTGGTGGGTTTTTTCACCTCATCCATCATTTGACAGTAATCCCAGGAAGTGGACCCTTTTTCTGAATTTTGGTGAGGTCTTTGGTCTAGGACAGGGGTCCCCAAACTTGGCAACTTTTAAGACTTGTGGACTTCAACTCCCAGAATTTTCTGGGAGTTGAAGTCCACAAGTCTTAAAGTTGCCAAGTTTGGAGACCTCTGCCCCGGGAGGTATTTCCTATTGTGCGCATCATTCTTTCTACCCAATGCCTCTGACAGTCCTAGAAGTACTCAGGGGAAGCAAAGATGCTGGATGCATCTGCAATTTCCACGGTAGGGATTTTGCTATGAACCGCATTTAGCTGACAAAATGTCAAAAAGGTGAAATGAATATGATGAAGTCACAAGCAATTGCCTTGGCATGAGGCACTTGATATTATTCCTAATGCTGGTTCTTCCCATCACTCATATTAAACTCAAGGCAGCTGCATTTTGTGTTTCTTTGCCACTTTCATCTCCCTGTCACCGGCCCGGGTATTGGACACCAGCCCTACAAACCTGGGATATCTGGGGCAGAGAGAAGAGTATGGCTTCTTTACATCCCTAATTCAGTTCCACTTGGGATAGCTAGTTTTTTTTTTTTTTTAAATGAGAGGATAACATTGAAAACAACAGAGGAAAAACAGAAATGTCAAAATGTCCAGAACTGGAAGCTGCCTAGAGTGATTTGAAAGACATTTATATAAATATTTTAAACTAACAAATAAAATGACACCAAAACTTTTATGATGAGGTTTAGCTAAAATGTCAATTCTCCAGCCAAAATCAATGACAAATTATCTAATTTTCTTCAGACTGTTGCCCAAATGCAGCAGTCATTCGTGCTTGTGTTTCTGGAATTCCCAAGCACTGCAGCTCATAGTTAGTCCTCGATTTACAACAGTTTGTTTAATGCTGTTCAAAGTTAAAACGGTGATAAAAAAGTGACATGTTTTTCACACTTACAACCATTGCAGTATCCCTGTGGTCACATGATCAAAATCCAGATGCTTGACATATGAACATAACATATGAATATAAATATGACTGACTCATATTCATGATGGATGCAGTTTCCTGAGGCCTTTTGATCCTCTTTTGTGACCTTCTGACAAGCAAAGTCAATGGGGAAGCCAGATTCACTTAACAACCAGGTTACTAACTTTACAACTCAATGATTCACTTAATAACTATGGCAAGAAAGTTTGTAAAGTGGGGACAAAACTCTCTTAACAGCTGTCTTGCTTAGCAATGGTAATTTTGGACTCACTTGTGATCTTGAGGACTACCTGCAGCAAAAAAGTGGCTGGGAATCCAAGGCCCTATGTCCTAAAGCATGAAAGACACAAGATGGGAGATGGCTCCTGTCACCAAAGAAAAGTGCTGGGCTAGAGGGGCCATTTGGCTCCTCCTGGGTTCAGATGGGCCCAACTGCCTTATGTCTTCACCCCCAATTCCCAAATCCTTCCCTTCTTATTCTCATTGCCCAAGAGTTAAATGGTCCCCACGAAGCAAGCATGAATAATCTCACCACCCCAGCTAGTATTGACAAAACGCCTCACTCTGCGGCCCTCTAACCAAACCTGGCAACGATCGCAGCAAATCTGAGCCAACGTTTATGCATTCAAACTGGAATCTCTCCTCTCATCCCCGTGGAAGTTTATAAGGACATTTAAATTCAACGGCTATTGAAATCTGGTCATCAGCCAGGAGTTTGGAGTCCTATTCCCAGCTCTGTCAGGAAAAGGGGAAGCTTTGTTAATTGGAGCAGAAGGTAAAAGTGGGAGCCAGAACTTCTGGGCTCCCTTCCCAGCTTCAGGGGGGTGGGGGGACGGTGTCCACCATTGTTCAGATGGGTCTTACTTAGAGAGGGGAGGAAGGCAAGGAAATGTAGGCAATTTAAGACACTCTGTAATTAAGATGTCCATAATCCAGCATACTACAGCCTCACGGGACCCTTATACCTTATCTTATTTTCCTGCAGAATCATCTCTACTTCTACTCAGCTTTTTCAGCTGACAACTTCACTTTTACTTAACTATTTACTATCCATGTTTAGCATTTCTGTCACTGCTCAAACAATCAGTGCAGACAAACATCGGATCTTCAGCACAGGAGTTCAGGGAACTTTTGAGGGGGCTATATAAAGATACCCTAATCCTACTTCAGCTGCACTTTTGCAAATAAAAATACTCTGTAAAATATGGCATCAGACTTTTTTTGGGGGGGGGGGTCAATCCGGGAAAAACAAATTTTTTTTATTTCTTTTTCAATTTTTAAAACAACCCTCTCCCTCAGAAATGCATTTGCACAGAAGCTCTTAGACTTATAGTAACTTCTTCTGTGCAAGAGAATCAAATAGCTAAGGCTAGTTCTGAAGTCTTAGAGCTTACATATTTCATATATAACGATAGCAGATTATTCCTGTCTTAAAATTACTTTTTTTTTCTCCACAAATATCTATCCATAATCATGCAAGGAAAGAATTTCTAAAGTCTACAAGATTACCCCCAAGCCTGGCAAGATGGCATAAAATAAGGGTTTTGTTTTTTTTAAGCGATTGGCCCCACAAATCACACATTTTTCCTTCCAGGAAAGCAAGCACCTCAGAATCCATGTGAGGACAGCAAAAGATTAAAGTTCATTGAATGAGCAAAAAGACAGTATGAAAGTCTAGGAAGCATGAGATTATTTGAAATTAAGCTGTGATTCTTACCTAGGAGCCTCAGTTAAGTAAGTCAGTACTTAAAACTTCTTTGGGCTGGAAGGCACTGTCTCACACCCATACATCCTCCTTTTGGGGGAACTTTTAGGAGGAGGTCTGGGAAACACATATGTGCCACGTTTCGACCTGCAGCTTCTCCCTACTTTGGCTGCGGGCTTCATGTGCTTGTAAACAAAAAACATCTGCCGAGGTCTCCTTTCCTCCAACCGCGGCTCCTATCCCAGATAGGCGCTGACTTTTAACGGCATGGAATCAAGAGTCCTTGCATCCCTTTAAAATGCCACTCGGCTCCCTTAACGCGCAGCCAGGGAGGAAAAGAAACAGCTGGGGAGGCTGGGAAGGGATGGATTGTTAGTAAACTAGTTAAGGATTAACTAGTAGTAAGGATTGTTAGTTAGTAATTCTCAACTGGTTTTTAGGGTGTGCAGCGAAGTTTTGCTGAACAAAACGCAGAGGCTTTTTTTTTTTTTTTAACAAAGCAACCGTTACCGTAGCCACGTTACAAACGGGATTATTTATTCGTAAGAGAACGTTTCTTACTGTTGGTTTAAAAAAAACGCCTTTGGTTCCTTTTAAAAGTTTAACTCGAAGAGCGCTTTTCCGCGGAGTCCAAGAGAAGCTCCTTCCACCACTGGCAGGCTCCAAATCCGAGCCCTCCACCTCTTGTAAAAGACACCCCCACACACACTCTTTCCTCCAGTCACGTGTCCAAGCCCGACTTGGCAAAAGACACCCTACACACGTTACCCGGGAGGAGGATGCAAAAAAACCCTCTTCCCCCGAACTCCTTCTGTCCTCCGAACAAGGAGAAGCCCGGGTCCCTGGCAGGGACAGCGAAGAGGGGAAGGGATCGCCGCTCTTAGGAAGAGCTATTAGGGGTTGATCAACGGCCGTCACAACTCGCATCCACATCGACGGAAACCCAAGTATAACAAGGTTGGGGTGGGATGGGGAACGGGGGTGGGGAGAGAGGTAGGAGAAAGTCCACGCTAAGACTTACCAGTCTGGGGAAAAGTTCCCACCGCCGCGCACAGCCGCGATCGCTCTGCAAAAGCAACATTCCTCCCCCCCCCCCCGGTCAGACTCCACCCCTGCCGGAGACTCCCAAGATCGGCCGCAAAGAAAAGAACGAGCCCTTCCCCGGAGGGTCGAAAATGTCCCCCACCCCCTCTTATAGTCGCTGCCCCTCCCGTGGCAAACTCGGCGAAAGAAGTCTTCGCCGCGACAGCTGAAAAGTGACCTCAGGAGGCGGGAAGGAGGGGCTAGCGGAAAAGTTGGCGGGGGGGGTGGGTGTTGGAAAGTGGCTTTTGTGTGTGTGTGTGTGTGGAAGCGAGGGGTTCGGCGCCTCCTCCTGATTCCTGGGGAGGAAAAGAGACGGAGAAGGAGCCAGGCCAGCTTTTCTCTGCTCTTGAGGGGCGGGGGGAGCCGCTTCTTGGGAGCGATCCGGGGAAGCAGCGTCGGTTGGGAAAGGGCGCCCCGAAGCCAGCCGGGCACACACACACACCCCTCGGCGACCGAGGTGGTTCCTTCCAGCCGGAGAGAATCGCTCGATTGTTTTGCAAAAAAGAAAGGCGCGATTTAAAAGCCGGGCGAGATTTGCGTGCGAAGGAGGGGGAGGCTTTCTGTGCCGGCGGACCGAGCCGTTGCAAGAACCCTGGGAAAGCGGGGCTTGTTCACTTTCCACCCCACCCCGCCCCGCCCCCGTCCCCGCGGCGCTCGCCGTCCATTCTGGCTTTCCTGGAGTTTGGGGGCGGCGTGGGGTGGGCGCGCAAAAGGATGCTTGGCCGCCCACCTCAGCTGCGGGCTTCCCTCGGCACTCCAGCCAGAGTCCTATATAGAAGAACCTCGAACGGGAGAGCGCTCAGCCCGACGGGCTCCGCATCCGGTCTCGGCTTCAGGAATGCGGCCGGGGGAGCTGGCCAGCTGTCGGAGCAGGTGCCTCAAGCCAAGACAGCCTCCGACGCAGGACAAGGGGGTGGGCTAGGCCTGGAAAGGCCGGAGATGGAGGATGCGGGGATTGCTGGGAGGCTGAACCCCAATAATGCCGATGGCCTGATGTTTAAAGGGGATATTGGGCCCCTTTAGATTAGGGGTCTCCCCACCTTGGCAACTTTAAGCCTGGCGGACTTCAACTCCCAGAATTCCCCAGCCAGCAAGCTGGCTGGGGAAT